CTACACTGTGAATCTCATGAGAGCAGGGATCGTGCCTGTGGTGTGTCCCAGCCTCTGGTACATAGTAGGTGCTTAATAAATACTTTGTGAACTAGTAAATGAAATGCTGGCCAGTGGGGCACTAGCCCAAGTGTCCTCTTTGTCAGGAGCGTGGGGGCATGAGATGGAAGTCTGTACCTCTGCTAGAGAGGTTTTTCCTAGACCTCCGGCGGTGGCCCAGGACCGGTCCCTAGAAGTGAAGTGTGGACCCTGGGGAGCAAGCCCCTGGGATGTTCCCAAACCCCTCCATTGAATTTCAGAGGCTTTGTCCCTCAGAAAAGCTTCACCACTTGTCCTGTCCCCTTGGGTGTGCCCCCTCGTTAGGGCAATAAAGTGCTCACGTCACTGGCAGCAGTAATGTGAGGGACACCCCTAAAGCCATTATTGGAAGTAGAAGGCAGAAGGGGGTCTCTGAGATCATCATGCTAGACCCATTCAACACACCAGGAAACTGAGGCTCAAAAGGGAAATAGTTTTGAGACCCATCAAAAACAGTTAGGATCAGATCCCAGCTCGCCTGACAGCTGGGCCTGGCTGCTTTCCACTTCCCTGGACTCCCTGCCTTCACACAGACCTTCTGGGAGCTGGGAGGGCATTTCTGTAATCGTCAACATCCTCCTTTTCAGCCTCTCCATGTGTCTTATGTTGAGTGCCAACCTGTATCCCAGGTGGATCCTTAAATAAGCCGTCCCCTTGAATAGTCTCAATACTTTGAAGGAGGAGCTGTTAGGATTCCCATTTTACAGATAAAGGAACTGAGGCCCAGAGAGATTGTCATTTGGTCAGGGGCACACAGCTAGAATCAGAGCTAGGGAGGGATCCAGTGCCTGCTGTTGACTCCAGAACCTGGGCAGTGTACTCCTATCCACTCCCTTGCGTCCTCATGTTCAGGTGCACAGATTCAGCATGTGATTCATTCCCGATAGGGTTACAGGAGCCTGTGAGCTCCCTCTTTGGACCCACAATGCCCGGCAAAGCCTGGTTTGAGGGAGTAGCTCAAGAGGCAACTGTGGAACTAAATGGAATGAAGATGGCCAGCTTTCTACTCTTTTATTTCCCCAGTGTAACCACAATGGTAGTTTGCTGCGACGTTGTCTCCAGTCAGTGACATGGTTGGGTTTCCTTGCAGCATTTCTCCAGAGGCTGCATGTATGGGCACAAGAATGATGTGGCATTTCTCCCTCACCTCTCCTCTGTGCGGTTTAAATGCCCCAAATACTATTTTCATCCAGAAACTGAAAAAATGTTCAAATATTTAGCTGTAGTGCGCTGCGCTGTTTTCCTGGGATGGCAGCAAGCGGGCCTGCTCGCGGGTGTTGCCTTTGCGTTAATTAGGGAGAGGCAGCAGACGGGTTGGCATGGCGGCTCTTCACACCCGGAGGAGTTGGCTCAACAAAGCCCATTTGGCACTTTTAATCCTGCTGAAAACCTGGCAGTTGGAGAGGTGACATCACTGGAATCAATTACCTCCACAATTGCCAGTACTGGGTAGAAATAACTTAAGAAATCAATTCCTAATAACCGCGCTATTCATCGAGGGCTGCCTGCCTGCCAACTCGCCAACTGCCTGATTTATATTAGCCCTTTAAACCTCACATCAGCCTTGAGGGACGTTACCCTTATTTCTATCCTCTTTTTACAAATGAGACAACTGAGACTCAGAAAGGAAACTTGGGGTAGGCAGAGTAATGGCCCCCAAAGAGATCAGGTCCCAATTCCTGGAACCTCTCAAGGTGACCTTATTTGGAAAAGGGGTCTTTGCAGATGCGATTAGGATCCTGAGTTGGAGAGATTATCCTGCCTTAACCAGGAAGACGTTAAATGCTGCCCCAAGGTCCTTTGAGACAGACGGAGGCTCCACAGGGGAGCAGGGCCCTGTGAAGACTGAGGCAGAGCCTGGAGGGATGCAGCCATGAGCCGAGGAACGCCTGGAGCCACCGGAAGCTAGAAGAGGCAGGAAAGAGATTCTCCTCTAGAGCCTTCTGTGGGCGTGCAGCCCTGCTGACACCTGGATTTTACCCCAGTCATTCAGATTTCAGACTTCTGGCCCCCAGAACTGGAAAGAATAGATTCTGGTTGTGTTAGACCACCGAGTTTGTGGTCATTTGTTACTGCAGCCACAGGAAACTTAGAAAGGCAGTGACTTGTCTGTGGCCACACAACTAGAGAGCCCAGGTGTTGGACTGTCTTGTACGTGCCTAATGAACAACACCTATGACGATGATGATGATGTTGCATGTGGGGAGGCTGAGTTACAGGATGAAAAGTAAAAAATACCACGAACGTGGCCTGCTTTATCCCTCCCAGTGGGTGCTGCTGGGGAGAGACCATCTGAGTATCCTGGAGTTGATGATTCAGTTTGGGGAAAAGCTACTAACACAGGTAGAGCTGGTTCAGGAAAATGATGAAACTTCGTAGGGTGAACACCTCATCTCCACTGAGTCAATTCCAACCACTGGGATTAAATCCACCGGCCAAGCTGGTCCTGCAAATTCAGTTGAGAGGTGGTTTGCAACTGTTGGAGCGAGTGTGATGGCCCAACGATCTAAAAAGATGAGGTGGCTCTGCCGTGGCTGGGAGTATTTTTCCAATAACACTTTATTTATTGTTGATTTCATCCTCTGCCCTCTTTAGCTCAGAGTAAACACTCAACAAATACTTACTGAATGCATGAACATCTGCCCAACAGGAAGCTAAAGGGAGAAAGTGATGGCCAGTAGCTAAAGCCGAGGGCTTTTGTGGCTTCTCCTGTTCTTTCCATCTCCTCTCCTCCTTTCCCTTCACTACTCTTCCCTTCCCTTCTGTTCTTGAGCAATTTGATCTAAATGCCATTAGGTGGGTTGCAGCAAAATAAACTTAAGCAACAGGGGGAAGGAGCAGAGGGTACACATTGGTCCACAGAGAGGTACCATAGTTCAAATGGGGTAAGAAGAGTGTCCACATGGGGTGAGGAGACCCAGCACAGGCCAACATCTAGTTGTCAGCATTTCAAAGTCAGGAGATTTTTACCTTCAGATCCAGGTTTCTGACTTATCTTGAGAAATCTGAAAGGCTAACCATGCTGGGCAATAACTGGCCCGGTGAATAGGCACAGTGCCCTTCAGATGGGCCATGTGACGCCCCAGTTCTCCACAGTCTCGACCACTCCCTATTGTGTAACACCCAGCCCACAGCCCATTTATGCTACCAGCCTGGCCCCTGGGACCAGCCCAACCCCTACCATAAGCTTTGGGAAACCACCCCAGAGCAGGCACTTAAAATGTCTGTCGGATGGATGGGTGGGTAGTCAAATGGATAGATGGAAGAACTTTGAAGATACCTCATTAACCTAGAACAAAGACCTTTCTCAGCGCACTAAACCTATGTTCCGCGGCAAGACAATTCTTGTACACTTGACTTTCTTGCATCAGCCATAGTCTCTGGGTAGTTTGGCTGGGGTAAAGCAAGTTGAGAAATCAGGGTGTTGTCTGATGCTAGAGGCCTCTATGTGGTTGTGATTTCCCTGTGGAATTGGAGGTGTCTGAAAGATGGGTGGGGTTCTGGAACTGGGTCAGGGTGCTGGGCGGGCTGGTAAGGCTGCAAGGAGATGGTATCTTAGGGGCTGGGTGGGGTGGGAACATGCTGAAGCTGATGGCTTAGGCTCCTGTTAGTGGGAGATCTGGCTTGATGGGGCATGTCAGGATCAAGAAGTGATGGCTTTGTCTCACCCAGACCATCTCACTCTCTGACTGTACATGGGTCATGTCCTTGGTTTGAAACAACCTCTTCTCTCATCTGTCTTCTGAAAGATTAGACTGAAAATACTTAATAAGATTTGGCAGTTATTTTTCTGGCACGAGTGATTTCTCATTGCCCTTAGGATTAAATCCAAACTCTATACCACCCCCAACCTAACCCAACATGCCCCGCTCACCTCCCGGAGCTCAACTCCTATCACTCGACTCCCATTCCCACCCAGTCCTCCTGGTAGGTAGCACACACCAAGTTCTTTGCCACCCGTAGGCTTTTGCACATGTTCCAGCCACTGTGGCTGTCTCTTACTTCTTCAGGTCTCAGCTCTTCATAGGTACTTACTGCCCCTAACCTTCTATATCCTGTCTCAACCATGACCTTAGTCATCGCCGTCACTCCACTGTTTCATTTTCTTCATTTATACTTCTCAGTGTCTGAAATTGTCTCATTTGTGTATTGTATTGTACTGTGTTGTCTCCCCAGTTAGAATGCCACTCCATGCAAGCAGGGATTCTGCTGTGCTGTTCATCACTTCATCCTCACAATGCCTACCTGGCACAGTGCATGGCATGTCGTGGAGGCACAATGAATATTTATTCTGCAATGAGTGAGAAGCTCTTGACAATTATGTGTTAGAATTCTGGAGAAGGTGAGGTGAGGTTAGATTTGGGGAAGCAAGCACCCAGTCAGATGGTGGCTGAGTTGGATTGTAAATTGGGCTGGGTCCAGCAGGTAACAGCGGACTGATCTGGTCAGGCGGCACCCTAGATTTCGGGAGGCAGCACTCCGAGTCAGGCATGGCCGAATGAACTTGTGACCCGAGCAGTGTCCAACAGGTCTCTTGAGGCTGGTCAGGGACAGGCTCTGTTCTTGGGGAAACGGGTGTCCTGGGGGGCGCGGGCTCACTTGGGCTGTAATCTGGGTTGGTGGGTGGGTTGTGAGTTTTGCCTGCGCAGCTCCACGCCCCCACCAGACGAGGGCCGCACCCGAGCTGCCCGGCTCGGGCAGTGGAGGAACGCGGCAAGAGGAGGAGGAATCACCGGGGGGAAAGAGCACCTGGCAGCGTCTCACCTGGGCGGAGCTGGGCCCGCTTCCTCGTGGGAGGCCCCCTGACCAATGGCAGCGCGGAGGACCACGGAGGCGGGCACGGATTGGGCGCGGGCTGGCGGGGGCGGGGCGGCGCGGCGGGCCGCTTAGGCGCGCGGCCGGTTGGCGGCGCTCAGCGCTTGGCTACGCGGGGCCCGGCGCGGGCGGAAGTGGCGACGCTGGCGTCCCCTGAGTCTGCGGCGGGCGGCAGTGACGGCCCCAGCGCTGACGGCGGCGGCCCGGGGGGCGGCGCGGACGGCCGCGGCGCCGGCTGGGGCATCACTGCGGGCCTCGACCCCGAAATGGCGCTGCTGGCCGAACACCTGCTGAAGCCGCTGCCCGCGGACAAGCAGATCGAGACGGGGCCCTTCCTCGAAGCGGTGTCCCACCTGCCGCCCTTCTTCGGTGAGCCAGGCTGGGTGGGGGACCCGGCCTGCAGCCCTGCCCCGGAGCGCCCCCTGACGTACGCGAGCCCTCCTTCTCCCGAGCATCCCCAGACCATCTCTCCCCTAGACGCCCCAAATCCTAGTTCCCCGGCCATCCAAGACCCGCTTTCCCCCCAGGCACCCTCACATTCTCCCCCAGACCGCTCCTCCCAGCTGCTCTCTGCCTCCAACAAGTCGTATTCCCCGTCTCTTCCCGGACACCCAGTCCTTCATCTCCCTACAGCCCAATCCTCTGTCTCCCCGCACACCTCACATGCCACCGTGTCCTTCAGATGCCTCCTCCCCAGTTCTCCGCTTCCTTGGCTCCCCCAGTCGGCCATCTCCCCAAACACCCCTTACTTTCCCAAATGGCAGTTTCTGCAGCGTCTCCCTGCAAGCATCACCCCCCTTCTCCCCCAAAGCCTGTCATCCCACACCCCATCATGCCCTTCTGCCCTTTAGGAATGGCTCTCAACTCCGTCCCCTTAAAATTGTCTTGCACTTGATAAACCCTCTCTTTTCCTTAAAATCGCCTAATCTCTCCCTGGGGGGACGTTGTGAACCCTTCTTCCCTCAGAATTCCCCCATTCTAGATCACACCCCACCCCCACTCCGCGGGCAGGAAGCCTGGCCCGGTGAGGAGGGGATTTTGAAGGCAGAGTCACAGAACTCCAGCATCCCTTTCTAGGGGGAACCACCTAAAGTTTTCCTTCCGTTTAGAACAGGGGTCAGGAGGAAACTACCGCCAGGCACAGGGTGATCTCAAACACAGGATGCTTGGTATGGGCTCCCAAAGAGACCCGTCTCCCCTCTGCCCTGTCCAGGAGAGTCCTGGGGGCACCACCAAGGCGGTCCCTAAAGCTGTTTCAGAGCTTCCTTCCTTCCCTCCCTTGGTCTGGAGCCTCGGGCGGAAAATGGGAAACAGAACACGATACCATCTGCCCCTGCCCTTTGCCTTTCGGATCCTGGGTAAACCGTGTAACCTGACCCTCTGCTTTTGTCTCTTCCATGTGGGTTTGCCTAGCAACCGCCCCCCCCCCACTCCCTTGCTGGTTCATCAGGTGGCCTTGCCTCAAGATACTGTCTCTGGGAGAGAGTCCGCCTGAACCTAAGGTGACAGAACCTTAACCCTGGCTTGGGCCTGGAGAGATTCGGCATGCAGGGCAGTCATTCACTTTACCCCTAGTGGGTGATCAGAGTCTGATGTGGGCAGTTGATGCAGTGCTGTGAGCTCTGGGGTGGTTGTGGTTACCTAGAGTTGTATCCCAGCTCTCCTCCTTCACCTCTTGGGCCTCAGTGTCCCCATCTGTGAAATGGGGATGCTCATCCCCAAGGCAAGCTGCAAGGAGTAAATGAGCAGGTGTGTGTAAAGCTCTGAGGCCTTAAGTGCCAAATAATGGTGGTGGTGGTGGGGTGTTATTATATGAGTTCCTGGGTCCAATTTTGGTTCCTTCAGATATTAGAAGATTAATTAATGTTTGAGTGAGTGTAATTGCCTGGTTTGTATGAGTGGGGGTCTTGGTCTTTTATGTCCACTGCTGCACCCTCAGGAGCCAGAACAGTGCCTGGCACATAGTGGATGTGTTGTTAGTACTGGTTGAATACACAAAGTGTGTCTATTGTGGGTATCACAGTGTTGAGATAACACTGAATCTCCAGGCTGGATCTTGGGAGGTAACTGGCTTCACCACTGAGGAGTTGTTTACTTGTGTGACTTTTCTTTTTTCTTTTCTTTTGAAAGAGCCACTGCTGGGTGCTCTTTCCCCAGGTGTTTCCTCCTCCTCCTCCTGCGTTCCTCCACAGCCCGAGCCAAGCAGCTCCGGTGCGGCCCTCGCCTGGTGGGGGCATGGAGCTGCCCAGGCCAAAATTTGCAGGACAGAGCCAGCTTGCCCTGGACAAGGTTTCAGAATCTGTTTAAGCTCATGGTTCTCATCTGAGGGTAATCTTGGGGCACATCTGGCAATGTCTAGAGACATTTTTGTTTGTCACAACTTAGGGGGGGGGTGGTTCTGGGATATGCTACTAGCACCTAGTGGGTAGAGGCCAGGGACGCTCAGAACATCCTAAAGTGCACAGGCCCTCCCCGCTTCACCCCACAACAAAGAATTGATCCAGTCCCAAATGTTTGTGGTGCCCAGGTGGGGAAATCCGAGTTAAGTTCTGTGGCTTTCTGGTCCCTTATCTTCAATAAGGTTGTCCTTGCTGCGGTTGTGCATCTGAGGGCACCTTTGATGTGATTACCTGGCTGGTTTTAGAGGAAAGGGAGTGGTGGCAGCTGGAGCCAGCAGTGAGCTGGTGCCAGAGCTGGAGAGCATCTCCCCCTCCCTTTCCATCATCTCAAAGGAACCTTGTCCCTGCTGTGAGCTGTGTGCTATGGTGCATCACATCTGTTGACAGAAGTGCCTTTTATACAGAAGCCTCAGTGGGTCGGCCCACACAGGATAATTCTTAGCACTCTCAAAAAAACGTGATAATCCATTTTGAGCCATTATACTCTTCTGGGGGCAGAGTTCCTTCTGAGCGGTTAACTTTCAGGAGAATGTTCCCACCAGTGGCTTTTCTCTGGGACTTGGGTCCATTGAGATCCACTGTCAGCTCTATCACAGGGACTGTGCTTAGATCTTGGGAGCTTCTGCTTACCTAGATGATCTGGGTGGTGTGCGTGTGTTGAAGAGCAGGTCAGGGATAAGTATGCAAGAAATCTGACAGCGACAGAGTCCCAGGGACTGCTCCCTCCATATCAGGGTTTCTCCTCTATGGCACTGCTGACACCTGGAGTGGGGCCATTCCTTGGGGAGGGGCCATCCTGCATACTGTAGGGTATTTAGCAGCACCCCTGGCTCTGTCTACTAGATGCTGGTAACACCCCCTCTACCCAAGCTGTGACAACCCAAAATATCTGCAAGAAGACAATCGCCCCTGGTTGAGAACCACTGTTCTTAATAGAAACATGTCAAGGGCTGAAAGCTGTGTTTTTAAAAAGTATTTACTTCTGCAAGGGAGATCTGTTTATTGAAGGAAAATTGAGCAAGAAGAAATGACAAATAAGTGCCCTGTCACTTACTGAGCACTTACTGTGTGCTCTGTACTCTCTGTAGACTAGTTCATGTAATCTCAGAACCCTTTGAGGTAGGTTTTTTTTTTTTAAGTGAGAATTTCTGCTGACATTTCAAGAGTATTTTCTTTACAGACTCATTTTTGTCTATCTTTAAGGGAAAGTGTATAAGCTGCTTTTTCCACCCAGCAAAATAGCATGACTCTCCAAGTCAGTCATCATTTTTCATAGCTGCCTAGAATTCCATTGTTTGAATGTGGCCATGATTTATTTAACCAGTCCCCTGCTGTTGGACAGTCACATTGCTTCTCATTTTTTGTTCTTCTAAACAGTGCTACAGTGAACATCTTTGTGTATATGTCTTTGTGTACTTCTTTGTTTATTTCCAATTTTTAGAAGTGAAATTGTTGGGTCAAAGGGTATGGATGCTTTTAACCTCTTAGAGCAACCACATTTCTTGAAACTTCATCAGATGTGGTTTGTGATAGAATCGGCTGGGCTTGATGAATGCTGACTCTTTGGGCTGCAGGTCACATGTGGCTCAGAGCTTCCACAGCTTGAGCTAGCCCTTCCTTCATATCTCCATCCTGAATCTCTGGAGTTGTACAGGTTTTACCATGTCCACGTAGAGGCCAACCCTTTGTCCATCTTCTTTCTCCACCCTGACCCAGTAATTAGATCTCCCCTCTGTCTGATCGGCTTCCTACTGACTTCTGTGAGGCCTGATCTCTCATCTTTTAGGTCAGTAATGCAACTCTAATGCTATTCTAGGGCATTAACAATCAGAGGGTGAAGGGAGGGAGAGACTTAGATCTTGTTACTCCCTGCCTAGAAGCTTCAGTGGCTCCCTATTACCCCACCTTGAAATCTGTGCTGTAGCCTTTCTGAATGGCTTGCAGCCCCACAAATGGTATCATGCCATCACTTGCCTCTGGAGCTGTACCTGTGTCAGTCTCTGCCTGGTGCACCCCTCCTCTCCAGCCTGCAACTTTCCCTTTGCCTGGCTGGGTCCCACTTATCCTTAAGGCATCAGCTAAGCAGTCAGTCACCTCTTCCAGGAAGTCTTTCCTAACTCCTTTAGATTCCCACAGAACCTATCACATTCCGTAACTGAGTTATTGCCATGCCTAGTGCTTGGCGAGGTAGGGATATTTGTTGAGTGAATGCTTTTGGTTCCGTTCCTGTTTTTTCTGAGTTCTTTCTGAAAGTGTTTTGCTTTTCTCTCTCCTTCTAAATTAAAACTCATGACCAAATTTCAATACATAACTCATACCCTGTTCCCTTGGCAGACATTGTTAATCAGCCATGATACTGTTTCCTCCTTTGAGTCTAGTCACGGCCTCCGCATCTTTCTTAACACAACCACTCCAGGTCAGTCAGAATTGGTGCACGAGGTAACACCTGTTGGCTCCCACTGTTTGAGGAGAAACCAAAGGTAATGATTTCTACCTCTCAGTTCTTGAGATCCAAATTTGGGGTAATTTTTCTTCAGGCTTTTAGCCTAATTAAATGGATGGCCATTGAATTGGGCCTTACAGGTACCTGATCTGACATTTATTAATTAGTGCTAGAGTAGGCCCCCCAACAGTGGTTTTCCATTACTTTGGTCCAGTGCTTGCTGTATTGTGTGTGCGTGTGCGTGTGCGTGTGCGTGTGCGTGTGTGTGTGTGTGTGGTGGTGGTGAGGGTAGGGGTGGGCAATGGCAGCCTAGAAGCACAGAATTACCTTGTTATGCAGCCAAAGAAATTGAGGCCAGAGAGGTTAGGTGACTTACCAAGGTCACACAGACAGTGGGTAGAACTCAGGCCTCTGGGCTCCTTGCGCAGTGGTTTTGTGGCTTTGCCATGGTGCCTGCCTGCTGTCCTGGCTTCCTGTCCAATAGAGGAGAAGTACCCCAGCGTAGTAAGCCTGCTCGGCTACTGAAG